GGGAGCAGCGGGTTCCGGCAGCGGCTGAGGTCGCGGGATCCTTCAGGGGCCGGGGGTGGGGGGGCCGCTCTTGCCGGGCGAAAGCCCCTTTCTCGGTAACGAGACAAACGCTTTTGAGTTTGGGGCAGGAGGTTGCCCGAGAAACGCTTCCTCCGACCCCTTCCCCCTCCCCCCAAAAACTTGTGTCTCTTCCGTGTCCTTGAAATACCGCGCCGTGCGGGGGGATCCGCGCGGCTCTCGAGGCACAACGGACTTCTTCGCTTCAGCGTAGCCGAGGTCTCGGGGCGAGTGCTTGGGTTCCCCCAGTTCCTGCTGGAATGGTTGCCGGTGGTTGAAGCGATTTCACTCACAACTTTATGATGGAGCGGGGGTGAGACGGGAGGAGGAAGAGGACGACGTTGATTCACCTAGGAAACGGGGAAGTGGCGCGAGGAGTTCCCTCTCCTTAAACCTGTTCTTACTTGCACCGTGCCGCATCTGTTGGCTGTGCGATACCGAGGTTTCTGGCAAGGTTTTGGGGGGAAAGGGGGGGGGGGCAATGGGCTATGTTCGTGATGATGGGATACGCAAGAGTAGGTGGAGATTTTTCTCCTCTCTTTCTGTGCAATACGTCTAGGATTTTTGAGAGCTCCATCTGTGCGTAATTTTCAAGGAAGAATCAGGAATTCATCTAATACTCGTAAAATGCAAGTTTTGGGTGGTGCTTCCTTTTATAAAAGGAATTCATAGCTGACAATGGAAACTTGTTTTTGCTATGTGAGGCCATAGTACCTTTAGCGTTACTACCATTTCGGTCTTAAAGAAATGTAGATTTTTGTCTTGCTTTGTAAGTTTTAGAAAACTCCAAAGTGGAGTGCTAAAATGCATATTATCTATATTAATGAGAATACTCTTAAAACGCTCAGCACTGCTTAGAAAAATACTAGCTTTTCCTCGTACTCGGACCTTTCAGAAAGACATTATACTGTTGCGTGTTTTCTGAAAGCTGAAATTCTGAGACATTTAAAACTCTGTGCAAAGAACCTCCTGAAATTGTTGCGCAGAGAGTCCTCAGACAGCTGCAGTTTCCTTCCCCATTATGATGTCGAATGCTTCCAATTCCTAGCTCTTCTTGGAGTGAGTTCTTTGCAGGTATGCTTTGTGTAGGTTTCCATGTGTTTACTATCTCTGATGTTAACGTATATGAGTAACTGCTTTCAATAAATATACAAAAGGATTATGAAAGGAAGTTAAAGCACAGTTAGCAAGACAGCACCTTGGGTAAACACATAGTTAAAGGCATCAGGTACCTCACTTCAGGTGGCAGTTCTGGCTGTTTTCTCCTTTTGAAAGTATAGTATAGAAAAAGATTAAGAACTAGAAATTCTGTTGTCGTGAAATAAACCAAAAAAGTGAGTAAACTGTTATAGGTTTAATACTGTTGTGGGTAACTGTGCCTTATTTAGAGTGGGATTTGGGTGATGGTCTGAGTTACACCTGCTCTAGAGTTTGAGTTGAGTGTGTGTTGTATAGTGCAGCGTGAAAAATACCTGAACTAGCTCCGGACAAGCTAGTACGCTTTGGTGCACGGTGTGTTATTAAGATGCATAAGGATACTGGGTTAGGTCCTAAAGATAGGATAGCCCTGGCTGTGTCGTACAGGGCTAATTGCTCTTTCTGGGCAAGGCTGATTACCACAGCCAGCTTCTGGTTTTGGAGCTGATTCAGATGTCTATGCAACACTGCTGCGTACACTTCAGCGCTGGTGTAAGTATACTTTTGTGCTACAAACAAAGCGATGTGGACTTCTGGAGGGTAGTTTATTATCACGTGTTAGTAGAACGCTCTTCAAATTGTGAATCTGGTATCCTGGTTCTTAAAATATTGAAATGGAAGCCCCTGTGTTAGCTTTTTGACAGTGATCCTTTACTAGTATTTTCTGCAAACCTACATCCTGTGATCTGGGGCATGGGATTGCTAGCGTTTGCATAATGTATGTTATTTTTGAAGCTTTAGTACAAGTATGGTAGAAAGAAAGGAAAAATATTCTGCCAGTAAGCCATCTATTTCAGCAGAACTTCAGGTAGTTCTTAAGGTTTTTTAGTCTTTAGTATCTCTTTGGATGTTAACCAGCGCTTCAGTTTTTCCGAGTTGGGAGCTCCTGCTGGTCTGTTGCAAGCATTTCCAGTGACCCTGGGCAAATGACCCTTTCAACTGCTATATCTCACTAATATGGCTTTGTGGCAAAAAATGTTGCTTGATTGGCTCATAATTTTTTAATAACTGTTTTTTCCAAACCACAAGCAACTGCTGTAATTACAGACTGTTATTAAAAAGATGAGGTAGCATCTTCTCCAAAACAGTGTATGGAAAGGATTGAAATGCCTTCATGGTAGAGGGAGTTGCTGCCATTAGAAAAGTGTGTGCTGTTCAGAGCATCACTTAAAAGCAAGCCAGGGGACGGGAGGAGGAAGTCTGTTGTCTCACCTGATGTGTCTTGTCGTGGCAGATGTGGTTCCTAAAGGGCTGTCTTGGCTACAACTGTGAAGTCTAATTTAGAACCTAAGAGAGCACATCTTGGTCTTTGACTCTTCTTCCCAGGCCAGGGGGGAACCATGCCGTTGTGCGGGGACCTGAGTAAAATAAGAAAATGATGGCAGGAACTCTCTTACGGGCTGAGTAGTTTTCTGACTTGATGTTTCATGCTGTGTTATAGGTGTATTTGAAAGTACTACTGTCTCAGAGTCCAGAAAAGGCCTGGTATAATAGCATTAATGAGTTGTAATCATTATCCATAAAATAAGTGCCTTGTAAGCCAGCTGCAGCCTTTCTAATTTGCGGTTTTCTGGCACTTTTTTAAATTATTACAAAGAATAATTGGGAACAGTAATATTAAACAATATAAATACAAAATGTGTGCTGTTTATAAAAGGTGAACTATTTGTTTAAAATTGTAGTGCAATGCATTTTCTACTTTGTAAATGCAGGGAAGGTTCCACATGTTTAGTATGGTCTTTATAGCAGAAGAGGTTGCTAGATAATACTGTCAAACTACGCACAGTGCTGCCTTTGTGATGAAGATGGAGAGGCGGCAGGAAGCAAACTACTATAGTGACATTTATGCTTTCACTAAACAATTGAATTTTAACCTTATGAAATCTGGATCGTAGTTACTACTGCTGAATGATTTTAGGCAGAGCAGTTGCTTTTTAGGGAACCAGTTCAATTTCTCATCTGTAAAACAAAGGTGGCAATAGTAATTTACAAGGGGGAGGGAAGCCGCCATCATTGACAGTACTTGGAAATACAATGATTAGAAGATATGAAAACTAGAAAGCATACATTAATGTGTGTTTTGTTACTGGAAGAATAAATTCTTCTAGTTAATGTGTTCTTACTTAAGTTGCTGCCAAAAGAGTTAGCACTGAGGCTGTAGGTAGAGTTCTGTCCTTGGAGTTGTTGGGTATGTTTCTTGTAGGTTTTGTTGCTACTGGAAAAATGGCCAGCAATGAGTGCCCTGGATGCCCATGATTAGTGGGGTGGAGAGGCTGCTGAATGCAGCAGCAAGGTAGCCAGATGGTGGCTGTGAACGTTGGGCAGCTCTGTGCTGGGGTGAACAGTGTGCTCAGTGGGTAACCTGAATGTCTGTGAGAAGAAGCAAGCCCCAAGGGACCTTATGCTCCAGAGCTTGGCAAGCCTTGGTGAGTGGGAGCCGTTCCCAGACCATCTCCCCCTTCTGACTGTTTGTCATGCGTATCTGGTAGTCCTCAGTCCCATGAAGTTCTTGATACGCAGTTTGCAGAATTGAGCTCTTTGGCTATCTTGAGCTTAGAATTTTTTTTCTAAAGGTTGTCTATTGTTGTTGAAGATGCTTATAACGTGAATGTAGCTCTAGCGAGCTTCAGGGTCTTTAAGCTGAGAAAACCTGACTGGCCAAAGTCCGGTTTTTATAGTAAATGTCACAGGCTCTTTCAATTATGAGCTGTGGCCCTTCCCTTCATGATAAGATCTGTAGACTACATTAGTTTTTAAAGAATTCCTTAAATGTAATTATAAGGAAGAGAGTTGTGGTTGTTAGCTGTTTCTAAACTAATTTGCAAAGAACAAAAGAACTGGAAATCCACTGCAAGTTCTGGTGCCTCATATAATAATGTTGTTAAGTACAACATCCGTGTTCTGCTACTGTCATTTTTTTGGCTTAAGAGTACCATGGAAATACTTTGTGTTCTTTGAAGCTGAATTTCTTTTCTTCTTCTTTATTTAGAGCATGTATATCTTTAGGATCCAAGACCCGGGCCATAGGGAATGCAGCAAAGAGCCAGGTAAATGGATCAGAAAAACTCTGTTACTTCTCTGACTTCTCTCATGTTGAACTGTGGAAAGAATAGTAATGAATGACCTTGGTATTCCTCTCTTGTAGAGGAATTACTACTGTAAAATACACACTTAAAAATAGGTAACTTAAGTAGTAGTGTTCTCACTGTTTCAGTTCCCCAATATTGAAATTGAAACACTGTTTCTGCCTTGTTTTCTGTCATTTAAAATGGGGAGTGATTGAAAAATCGAGCCTCTTCCCTAGTTTAAAAAAAAGTCTTTTCTTCTTGCCCGCTTGTCACAGCAATAATAAGAGTTCATGCTTAAATCTCATCTCAGGTGGGGGGAAGTATACTGTGCTTACATCTTAGAAAAGCTGAAACTGAAGTTGGAGAATGAAAGCCTAGAATATAGATATTGATTGTTGCTCATGAAGTGAGATGAATACACCTTAGTAATTTAGTGTCTTACCTCAGAAGTTCAGACGGCAGTAAAATTTCTCTCTAACTCTCTTGCCACCTGAGAAAACAAAGAATAAACCCCTTTGGGCGTCAAATACTTGAAATGACTAAGCAGAAGACTTCATAATGGCCAATATGAATTTAGAAAGCCTAAGGAGATGAGGTCTTACTGTCTTTTTCACATACATGCATCATGTTAGCATGCTGAGAGGAGGACTTCTTTCTCCTTAGCGGTACGTAGGTAACTGGAAATTGAATTAGCTGCTTTACCGAGTGGATGTAAAGGTAATGCCAGCCCACTGGTAATACTATGAGCACTCGGTATCTGGCAGAGGCTGTATCATTTTCTTTCTGAGAAACTTTACACGGCTTATCTGAGCTCAACCCCTGAGCTTTGCCGATGAAAAGGTGTCCTGTCAGTCATACTTTTCTCAGTGTGGTATTTAGACTAGTAAACTTGGTTTGTGCTGGAATAGATTACCCTGGAGTAACTGCTTTTAATAGCTTAACTATTACGTGTGTTAGGATTTTCTTGTTCTGGTCCTTTCTATCTTTAAAATACTTAAGGTGAAACACTGACTAAGGAATAGCTAGTTGTGAGGAGGTTTTATCTGCAGGCAGGATCTGAATTAAACCAGAACTTCAAAGGAAATGGAATGCTTAAATTGGTTCAAGTTTCATTTTAGGTTAATATAAGTAGTAGTTTCATTGTAGCGATGGTTGTCCGCAGCATCCAATGCGTAATGTAATATCAAAGACCACATACTATACCAGAAAGCTCCTTTTAAATAAAAGGTGCAGTGAAAATTGGCTACACGCTTGCTGATATTAAACAGGGAAGTGAAGTTGAGTTTTGTAATGGAGACTAAATTAAAAAAGTTATCCTGTGTGCCACATTTCCCCCCCCCCCTTTGCTTTCCAATAAAGGTAGGTTGCTTGAAATAGGTCACTAGTTAATGTATCAAGCTCAACCTTACAAGTCCCCTTCTGGATGGTCTTCTATACCCTGATGAACTGAAAATAAAATATGTTTTCCACAGATTGTCACAAATGTAAAAAATACATTACATGGCTTCAAAAAACTGCATGGAAGAGCATTTGAAGATCCTTACATACAAGCTGAAAGGGCCAAACTTCCCTATGAGCTTCAGAAGATGCCAAATGGCTCTGTAGGAGTAAAGGTGAGTTAGAGCTTTGTGCAGTATGTCTCTAGTGGTGAAGATTAGCGCTTAAGAGCTTTGTGTCACCTCCTACTTGAATTTACTTAAGTTTTCCTTAACTCTCTAAATCTATCCATGTCCCTTTTAAAAAGAAATGTCAGTTTAGCAGTACGATAATGCACCTTTTAGTTTTCCCAAAGCCTTCCTTAGCATAATTTGAAGTGAATGAATTATAGAGAAAAATGATTGGAAAGATCAGGATAATTTGATCTGCAGTATGTGCACATCTCTTACTAATAAGACAATGTAAAAAGGTATTGTGTTAAGTCCCCTGTACAGGGATGCTACAAAATGTTAATAGCTCTAACCTAAGAAAGGTCAAGTTTGGGTTTCATTCACCTTCGGTAAAATTTACTGTATAATAAGGTTCTCCTCTAAAGATGAGCGTTATTTTCCCTGCAGTAACATCTGCTCAAATCTTGTACTGACTTTTTTGCTTTGAGATGTCAGTTGAGCTTTCTTACGAATTTTATTGGCTTTCTGTACTTACTGCAGTACCTTATACCTTATATTACCAGATTACTTTCGAATAGATGTAGTTGTAGTGCATGATTATTTATCTTGGCTGAGTTTTAGGTCTTTTGGCCTCCAGAGACCAAATTTCAGGAAAAATGGATAAGGCTCTGAATATTTAACCTGAACAGGTTATTTATTCTTAATTTGCTTCCGAAATAAACGGTTTGCAACTGCTGTTCTCAAAATTCAGGCTTCCTGACTTCAGACTCCGTATGCATCTTCCATTAACATTTTAATATGGATCCAGAGTGCACTATTGAAGCTAATGTCCTATCATCCTCACTTACTGCACTTAGGGTTGCTTTGCCGAGGGGCTTTAGAGCACCCACAGGAAATTGCTCTTAATATGTAGACCTGCTCGTGCTGTGCCGTATTAACTGCCAACGTAAACATAGCCGTAGCTCTTCTCTCTGGGTTCCCTGCACAGGAGTGTTTGGGATTGCTAGCGAGACCCCAGTCAGACAGGAATTCAGGACAAGTAACCTCATGTGAACACTACAGGTGCAGGCTCAAAGATACACATGTGTTTGCTGGGCAGAACAGGACTGCTGGAGTTGCTTTGTTTGCTCCTGCCCCACCTCGTGTGCCTGAGTGACCCTTGAAGGAAACAAATGTTCCTTGTCTTTGTTCCAGAGTTTGGATTTTAACTCACGTCAGGAAGAACGTGATGCTACCTGTATTATGCTTTCTTCAATTAAAAAAAAAAAAACTGTAGGATTTTGAGTAGTCCTCTGAAATAACTGAGGTGTCAAGGTTTCCCACAAACGAATGTTCAACCAAATTGAACTGTTGATGATGTGTTTAAGGAGCATGAATCCATAGCATCAATTGACATTGAGAGTTATCTGTGTCCATAGTCTGGTGTTAAACTTGGGTTTTATTGATTGAAACTACAAAGAAGTCCAAGCAGCACGTCTTAAGAGAAGAGATGACATACCTCTGAAAGGTTCTTTGATTTGTTGTGGGACTTTGGGGGCCTGGGGGTGCGCGCATGTGTGCGCGCCAATACCAAAACCCGTAGTCTTCAGGCTAGTTCTTGATGAGATAGCTTTTCAACTTCTGTTTAAAATCTTGGGCAAAGCCCTTGACTTGCCCACTGGTGCAGAGGTAAGTGCTTGTCAGTGCCAAATGACTTCCATTGGTGCTGAGAAAGCTTAAGTTGAGATGATTTATTACAGAATTGCTTCTTTTTTTTTTTTATTTTAGGTGAGATACCTAGATGAAGAGAGACCGTTTGCAATTGAGCAGATAACGGGAATGTTACTGGCCAAGCTCAAAGAGACGTCGGAAAGTGCTTTGAAGAAGCCAGTGGCAGACTGTGTGATTTCAGTAAGTTGTAACATATGTATTGCAATTCTGTTTAGAGATAATGTTGAACTTAACAATTTATGCCATGGTACAGTGGGAAGAGATACGAGTAGTAGATGAAAATCACTTATGAAAAAACAAAACCGCAAATGTGCGTTGCAATACACAGCTGTTAACTGCATACCTATTTATAACCAAACTGCCCGAAAAAGTAGGCCTTTATTCTAGTTTGTTCCGACTGATAATGTTTCTGTAATCGTGTGTCAGAAAATGAAAAATTCATTAAATAAGTGTTTTTGGACAGAAAATATTGCTCCTCAGACTGATCTGGAGTGGCTGACTTGGGGCTAGATAACTAGCCTGTTACAAATGGGAACTGGCCTATATGTGAGTGTATTGCCCTCGTATCTAGAGAACCTTCCCAAATCTATGTTAAATTCCTTTATGTAAGAGCTGAATGCTGTTGGGTGTTAGTGTAGATTGAGAGTTGCCTAAACCTCATGGCTCTGAGGGTCATACTACTAATTTCCAAAAAGCTGGAACTACCCATATTTAAAAGCGTGAGTCTTTGTATGGTTGGTTTGGTTTATCTGTGGGGCTTCTTGCTTTGATAGTCTTCTCACCCATGAAAGAACTTAAGAGGTTTTGGTCCTGATACAAAATCCTAGATTCTCGTCTTCCATATTGTCTTTGTTTCCTTTTCCTGCTTCACTACTTTTTCTTGTTCTTGTGAGAACTCTGGGCGTGAACTATTTGGGTTATCCCCCCTTTGTCAGATAGAGAGAGGGGACCTGGAAAGCTGTATATGTTAGAAATCTGCTTTGATCTTTTTTCTTGCTTTCTTACGGTGTACAAAGACACTTGCACAGAATACCTCCCATGCAAACAAGGAATCCTTGCTAATACACTGTATTGATAGCTAATGATAGATGAACTATGAATGTAGTTCTAAGACTTTAAGCGTCACAAATTTAAAAGGTGACAATTGATCGCAGCCAGTTTTAAGTGGCTACTTTGACTATTTTTGGTGGAACTGAATATTGTTACAGTGCAGTGCCAGCTTGCAGTGTGCATGGGATAACTAAAAATGATAAGAACATATGGTATAGCTTCAATCCAACACAGATCTGACACCACTGAATTCAGCTTGAACTATAACTTCGCGCAGTAGTACTCTGATAACTTATTTGTAGCCAAGAACTTGATTTTATACTATATGAATGACTTCAGAGAAAACTTTCAAATGGTTTGGACTGGTAATGACTTCAAGAGCAAAGTCTCCCTAGAAGAATCTAAGGAGCAAGGGTTGTGGTGCTTAATCTAGTTTAAAACACTTGAGTCTGGCTTCGGTTAACAGTTCTGTTGCTTTGAAATTTAATTAAAACATGCATTAAAATGAATTATCTAGCTGTTCTACTCGGACTGACATATTGATCTGAAGTTAACTTATTCCTGTGGTATTCAAATGTAAAGGATTGTTTAATGGGTACATCTGTCGTGATATCCTATATAATTTCTTGTAAACAGGTACCCAGTTTCTTCACTGATGCTGAGAGAAGGTCTGTAATGGCAGCTGCACAGATTGCAGGATTAAACTGTCTGAAGCTGATGAATGAAACTACAGCAGGTAAAAGGGCTATGTGCACAGAAATAGCCAGCAGTACATATAAATGTGTTGGTTATTCAGGCTATTTAATCTGTCAGGCTGATGACGTACCAGTGTTGCACAATGAGAAGTTTGGGAAAAGCTCTCCAAGCTGGAACTGCCCAGTCCTGCTTGGGAACTGGAAACAAAGCAACTCGGACAGTGGTGTGGTGTTCTCTGCTAATTCGACATGATGAGAGTTAATTTGTTAACTTGAGTGTGCAGCCACGTTAACATAGCTACTCTGCTTCTGGAGTGAAAGTTGGTATTTCTGCATCCCTCTCTGTGCTGTGGCATGGAGCTATCCTAGAAAGGCTTGAGCTAGCTTCAGAATTCTCTGCATGATAATCCAGCTGGGGTATGCACCTGACCTAAATTCTCAATTGTTGTATTAAATAATACCGTTGTACAGTATTTTTAGATTTAACCAGCTTTTTCCCTTCTGAAAGATAACAATAAGGACATCGTTTACAATATGTCTGTAGTGGTGTCTTTTAAGTGTGATGTTCCCCGTGTTTTTGCTCTGTGGTGCGTTTCCAGGTGCACTTTCATTCCTATCCCTTTTTCATTTTATTTACAGTTAGCCGTTAATGCACATTTACTTTCCCCAGTTTGATGAAACAGTAATGTAACGTATTTTTTGCTTCCTGGAAGATGGGTGCGCTGGAGTAAAAATAAGTGGCATAGAAATATTAGCGAAATGCTTCTTAGTTACAGGCTAGTACTTACCTTGAAGTCAGATATATTTAAGAGGAATTCCAAAAGGTGTAATCCAAAGAATTTTAACTACTTTATTGTCATTGCGTTTTTATGGAGCTTTTTCTGAAAGTAGACCTGCTGACAATATTTAGAAATGACTCCAACTGTATGACTTTCCAAAACATCCAAATCAAACTGAGCATGAGTTTATGGGAGCGTGACTGTGGGTAAACGTGTGACAGACCTGCCATTTTCTGTAGCACTGGCATAACTGTCACTTGCATGAAGTAATTTGTTTATTGCAGTTTTCTGTTGCTGGAAAACCTTTAGGAAGTTTGAAAATGATGATTTATAAAGGGGAATTGAGTTTGCCTTCTGGCTGTGATGAATTGCTTCTAGGCTAGAGCATAAAAATAGGCTACGCTTCATGGGAACTGAAGTGGAACAGTTTAAACGAGTAACAGAGTGTTTCTTGACTTAAATTCTCTTTATTTTTACAGTGCCTCAGCCAGCTTTGTAAGAATCTTAAGATTTCAATGCCAATATTAAACTAGCCTTATAAACGTATTTCTTTGCCTCTTGAGTATGCTTGAATTTTGCAAGACTGAGCCAGACCGAAAATACTGAATGTAAGATGTTTAAAGGAGAGAGTTGTAGGCACAAGACTTGATCTGTATTAATAAAAACCAAAACATTGCTTTTTGTGAAAAGGCTATCCCCATGTTAACTTGGCTGCAAGTAGAGCTGAAATGTAAGGTGATAGCTTTAGCGTTAAACTTTTACTTGGTGTTCGTTTTCTCTATGGACAGTGAAAAATTTGTTTTCAGCAAGTTGATTTTGCTTGTGATAAGCTCCTTTATATATGAACAATAATTCTCAAGCTTAAGAAATGGTCTGATAAGTACTGTATCTAAGAATTTAAACTGAAGGAGCAACTATGATACTTAATCAGAGTTAGCACTTTGGAGACGCACAGCATGAGTGCAGCACGCTGTTTATGTTGGAAAGAGATATTAGGTTATACGGAATATTTAAATGTTAATTATATGATTGAACATGAGATAATTGAGTAAAACTAAATGGAACAGTAAGAAATGAAAATCCAATCTAAAACCTGTGACTCTTTGCATTCTTATGTTCACTTTGAGCAGAGTAGTGGAGGTACCTAGAAAGAATAAACATAGTAAGCAGCATGGTTCTCTTTTGCTTTCATCATGTTTTCTGCTTGCACACAGCTTCCTCTTAATTTACATCAGCAATTTCCCTATGTTCTTTTTTCAGTTGCACTAGCCTATGGAATATACAAGCAAGATCTGCCAACCTTGGAAGAGAAGCCAAGAAATGTGGTCTTTGTAGATATGGGACATTCTGCATATCAAGTTTCAATTTGTGCTTTTAACAAGGGAAAACTAAAGGTAACTTTCTGAGCTATACGCTAAAACTTTATTGAATGATACTTAAAACATTGTTCTGGGAAATGATTTTTTTTTTTTTTAAGACTAGTAAATGCCTGTAGCAAATGTTTTTAAAACGCTGTATACCAAAGCTTTCTGATGTTTTTGGCAATTTTGCCAAAACGATTTCTGTAAAGTGCAGAAGTGAAGTATCCCAGTGTTCTGAAAACAGCTAAGCATATGTGTGCTGTTTGTGCTCTATTGTCACACTGAAATGGATATTTGTATTTTCTGCTAATCTCATAATCTTTGTAGTCATGCAGCTGCTGCCTTCAGTATGATGGGAAATTGTTGAACTGCCTTGAGGATTATTGTTGTATGATGATGTTTGTGTGTGTGTGGTTTTTTTTTTTCCCCCCCCCTCCTATGCCATGTATTGGATTAAGATGTAGATTAAGACCTAAATATGTGAAATACAACTGAATGATCTTCACTTTCAAGTTCTGAGACTGTCATTTTTAAGTTTGGGATAGTGGTGGCTGAGGGTTTTTGTGAATTTGTCTTTGCTAGTAAAATGCAATCACCCAAAGTTATATGGAAGGTGAAACCTTTGTTTTTCACTTAAAACACAGAACTAGTAATAGCATGACAAGATAACTATCCCAGTCTGCTGCTGCTTTAGTGAGCTAGCAAATTGTGTAGGGGCCACAGCGTGGTAGAAGTAACGTGGTGAAGGTGTGTGTGGGAGGAGTGGGGTTCTTCTGTTAGGTGAGTTTTTTGTGGGATGGTTTCGTTTTGGTTTGGTTTTTTTGGTAAGAATTAAGTTTGAGGGGGGAAGCATTATCTTTTTATTTAAAGTTGCTCTACCAGGTGGCTGCGCAGTAGTAAAGAAAGGTGAGAAAATCGCTAAGGATTTTGCCATATCAAACTTGTTTTGAAAGGTGTTAACTTTTAAAACCATGCTCTATGTGAAAGCTGTCCCTACATCTAAAACATTAAGTCTAATAACTTTTGATCTTTGTTCTTTCACTTCTGCATAGGTCTTGGCCACTACGTTTGACCCTTTCTTAGGTGGTAGGAATTTTGATGAGGCTTTGGTAGACTACTTCTCTGAAGAATTCAGGACAAAATACAAACTGAATGTAAAAGAGAATCCCCGAGCACTGCTGCGATTGTATCAGGAATGTGAAAAACTAAAGAAGCTTATGAGTGCAAATGCTTCTGATCTGCCACTCAATATTGAGTGTTTCATGAATGACCTTGATGTCTCCAGTAAGATGAACAGGTACTGTGCGTTACTTTCCCTGAAGTGCGGTCTCTAAGTTGACTTGAAATATGAGACTTTTTTTTTCCCCCCCATTTCTGCAGGGCTCAGTTTGAACAATTGTGTGCTGCCCTTCTGTCCAGAGTAGAACCTCCTCTAAGGGCAGCCATGGATCAAGCTAGTAAGTAGAAGTTAATAAGGGTATTACTTTTTTGGCTCAAGAAAGTAACTGGTGATACAGTTATCCTAGATCTCTCTAATGATTATCTTTTAATATATTTTTGTATTTATTAGAATTGCAAAGCTAAGTACTGAAAAGTTAAATGTAAGTTCCGTTCATATGCTTCTCATGTATGCATGATCTCATTTCTGCCTTATTTAGTGCACAAATCACTATGCAACCCTGGTTTATTGACCCTCGTTCACCCTATGTAATGGAAGAGGTTGGCCTTCTGAAAGCTTATTTCTTCTCACCTTAAACGTGATAGCAAAACTGTCATTCTTTGCCTCAACATTTTTCAAGTATCTGGCCCACCTGTTCCCTATGTGATAAATACATGTCCTCACTGCTCTGAGAATTTGGCAATAGATACTTGAAATGAATTACTTGAAGCACGTGCAAATAACTTTTTTTGTCCTTTCTTTGTCTAATACGATGTGAAGAAGAGAAACAGGCTTTCACAAGGACAGGAAAAAGCTTACCTTTAATGTCAAGCCTCTTCAGCTAAACAAAAAGGAAAAAGTCTCCTTAGTCAGTTGCCTAGATCAGTAATGAAAGTAAGACCTTGGACAGTGACCTACTACAGCAAAACTGTACAAAGACTGACAGTTGTTTGAGGTCACTTTATGCACGTATCATGAATCCAGAATTAAAGTTACCCTGCAAGCACAGTCTTAATACTTATCATATTTTTAATTAGAAGCTTTGTTTTTCTGTATTGTATTGACAAGCAAAGTTCAATTGAACATGAGATGCATCTTGTTTTATTTTACCCTTGTTTGGGAGGGATGTGGTGGTGTCCAGTGGTACAGGGTTGCCTAAGAGAACCCTATTATACACGCGTAGGCTTATGCACACCATAAAGGGGATGCACATGGATAATGCCTTGTGAAGAACAGCTGTCATGAAGTGGCCACTATTTGGATTCTTGCCTTCTGCATTTCCAGAATTGTGCGACTAGAAAATTTTATAGCTTGCAGAAGGAACAAAGGTTTTTGAGTAGACTATGTTACTACAAAGCTTTTTAAAAAAAAGTTTTTAAAGATCTTGTTGGCCTCTGATTATATTCATTGCTTGTCGCAGTGTCTAGATAATAAGGGGCCTCAATCTTCTTGGTTGTCCAAAGACAGCTTTTTGATATCCTGATGATAACCAAAGACTGCTTTTTTCTAGGACTTCAGCGTGAAGATATCTACAGTATAGAAATCGTAGGTGGGGCCACTAGAATCCCAGCAGTGAAGGAACAAATCTCTAACTTCTTCTGTAAAGAAATCAGCACCACACTGAATGCTGATGAAGCTGTTGCAAGAGGTTGTGCCTTGCAGGTATAGTTATTAAAATTCAGCTTTGCTATTACTTATTTAACATGATGTACCGCTGAAATACAGCGAACCGAAAGCAAAAGCTACTACAGTTGAAACAAGGTGTAAGGTCTTACTTGCTCTTTGAACAGTTGGTCACAGCGTAAGAAACTACATTTGGTAACTTGGTACTGAGTGATGTGAGAAGGATGGACTTGTAGAGACCCGTTAACCTTGAAAACGCTCACTGCTCTATGGTGGTTTGAAAGCTTTCTTTGTATCTTTGCTGGCAGCTGCTAGCAAAGTAGTGTCTGTTACCGTACCTTAATCTAAGTAAGTTATTCAGCTCGGATAATTTGATTGACTTTCTACAAATAGTAGGGAATTTCTGTTTAAAAATTCTGTGATGAGCAGGACCTCCATGTGACCTGTGGAATTTGTAGCCTTTTTGCACTTGCATATTATTGTATTTATTATTTATTTAACTGCATGTATGTAATAAAACTCTAATCTTTCTTTTCTAGTGTGCAATTCTTTCCCCAGCTTTTAAAGTGCGTGAATTCTCCATCACAGATGTTGTTCCTTATTCAATAACATTAAGGTGGAAATCATCTTACGAGGAAGGAACAGGGTAAGCTGTATGGTGTTTAGTAAAAAGTGTGTGCGTGTCTGTGTATATATGCCTTCAAACTCTGAAGTTGTTTATCCACTTGAGCAGTTTCCACTTTTCTTTTGTATTATACCTTTTCGTTTCCAATTACTGCTCTAGTCATTGGGAGTATATTTAAAATACTTCATTGTGAACTTCCTTTAAATTTTGAGAAGTGTGGCATAAAATGCGTGGTCTGGCTTTGAGACCTACAGTTCTTCATCCTGGAACTCTTGTCATAGCTCACCTAAAAAGTCAGCTTAAATTATTTAGCTGCTTGTTAACATGGATGCTGATCATCAACATAACATGATGGATAATCAAAGTCAAGTTACGCTCAGTGGTTTAACTTTATTCAATGTTTTACTACTTCAGGGAATGTGAGGTCTTCAGTAAGAACCATGCTGCTCCGTTCTCAAAAGTAATTACTTTTCACAAGAAAGAGCCTTTTGATTTGGAAGCTTACTACACCCATCCTCATGAAGTGCCTTATCCTGATTCCAGAATAGGTAAGAACTTGTGAATAAAACCCCAACTGAACTTTCATGAACGGCTTGCTTGTGGGAAATGTTAAATATAAAACCTATTTAGAAGAGGTTTTATCTCTATTTCGTAGGTTATAGAAAAGCCCAAGTTCTTATTAGAAAGGCTTGGCCCAATCTCCAGTGTTGGGATGCAGTGATAAAACGGTATCAGTGTCGTCTTATGGTAGTTTCTAGAAAATTTACTTCATTCTATATCTGTGTTCGCTGTTTTTGAATGCTTTAAGAAACCAGGCACAAAGAGTTCAGCGCTCTACTGTGCGGTTCTTTCAACCTCTGTAAAATGAATCAGGATCTGATACGCAGGCCAACGTGGATTTTCAGAGAAATTGGATCAAAGGAGCTGTTAACGCTAGATAATTATCTGTGTAGACAGGTATCTGTCTCGTCTCTTTCTGCTACTCTCAGAACATACAAGATAGGCATTTCTTGAACTTAAGCATCTGTAGTAGAGTCTAAAGTATTAGATGGGGTGAATAGTTTCCTGATATCTGATAGTGCCTTACTTAAAATTAATAGTAGAATTCTCAGGGTGTTTAAATAAAATTACTAGGTATTAGTTTCTGATATAACCTTGGTGGGTATTTCCTGTTTATCTATTTCTAAGATGTCGGTCTTGTTTAGGAAGAAACATTCTCCTTTCATGTGCATGGTCTACATCGCTTTCACTCAAATTTGCGACAGGTGTCAGAATGGGTTATCAGCCTCATTGCTTCCAGAAGCCCTGGTAAACAGACTGTTCAGTCTCGAAGATGTGCAGTACATCTGTGTTAGGCTGTCTTATTTCTTAGATGAGCGTTCAAATTCAGACCTTCCAGGGGAGAGCAGGACTACTGCTGTACTTGCACGTGTGTTACGTGTGGGACCAGTAGGACTCTAAGGATGTGCCTGCCATTCAGTAATGGAGTATAAAAGATGTGTTGTGTTGCTGAAACAGCTGTCTTTGATGTAGACCTTAATATTTCTTTGTATTCTCTGCACAGCACAGCCTAACATACTAAACTGCACAGCACAGCCTAACAAACTAAACTGCATAGCCTTCATTAATGTGTCTGCTGAAAAGCTTAAAGTAACAGGTTTAGATCGCGTTCTGTATAAATTTGCGTAGTCTTATTCTGCAGAGCTGCAATTTGCAGTTACGGTCTAAAGGCTCTTTGTGAAGCAGTATCAGTGGAAGCGATGTTAGTTTGACCTGTTTCTGTCAGAGTGGCAAAATAACTGTTTACCGGGCCTTCTGTTCTCTTAAAATCTTTTAAACTCTTCTAGTGCTAGCTGGAATGCTCCAGGGATATTCAGATAGGATACAGACAACATACATGCGTGGTTTTTTGGTTTTTTTTTTTTTTAAAACAACTCAGTTCAGTGTGACTTTTTCTGTTTTAAGCGAAAGATCCTAGTAACGTGTGGGGCTTTTTCTAATGAACTGTAGAAAGCAAAAGCATCCTATGCCTGTATAAATTAATCAGTAGTGATTGGGAAACCATGTTTTGATTTCTCTAGCCTCAGCTTACGTTGTAGAACTGACAATTAAGTGTGCAGTGTGTATCAAAGCAGGAAGCTTCCAAGTAGAGATAACTTAAAGTACATGAAGCCATTATTTAAATTAACACACTTGTACTGCACTCCATGAAGTGCAGTATCCTTTTTGCTGCCTTTTTTTGAGCAATAGTTTAACCATCTTTTCAACTTTTCAAGGGCGTTTCACTATTCAAAATGTTGTTCCCCAACATGATGGTGACAATTCCAAAGTGAAGGTAAAAGTGCGTGTCAACATCCATGGCCTTTTCAGTGTGGCTAATGCTTCAGTAATAGAGAAGCAGAACGTAGAAGGAGATCACAGTGACACACCTATGGACACTGAATCATCGAATAAGCTCCACGGCAAAGAGGATGAGCTGGTATGTAAACTTGTAAATATCTACACTCCTTGTAATTCTGAAAAGAGCCAATAATTGGAGATTAAATCATAGTGTATAGCTTTTCAAAATTACCACTTCTCCACCCTTGAATTACTTCTTCACAGACATAAAGGAATGTATTACATAACTGTGTGTATTATTAAAGTACTGATGGTGTGGATGTAAGAGCAAAAAGAGTATAAAAACTGAAAGATTCTGAAGAGTTGTTTTATTGTTCTTTACCGGTCTCTGTGCTAATCTTAGCTATCGAATGGGAACATATTTAATGAGATTTGCAACACATTTTCTTTGGGGGGAGGGGGAAGGTATTTTGGAATGATGCATGGAAAGACTTGTTCTTCGTGAACAGTGTTTCGCTTAAATACTTCAGTACTGTTCTTACAAATTGGCCTGTAAGACTACAGTGGAGGAAATGCTTGAAAGAAATGTGCAACAACTTTGTTATTAAAACTGAGAATTTAGCATTTTGTATTACCTGAGCACGCTGGCCAGTATTTACATAAATGCTGTAGATTGGTCACATCAGCTCATGGTATTCTGTCCGTCGGCTCTCCCATGTTAGAGCAAGGAGGGTCAGCTGCCTTGATGATGTGTTACCTCCTAAAAGCAGGTGGCCAAGTCTCAAGGTGCAGCAGTTACATTGCAGAGCTGAGGACAGGGCAGCAGGGAGTGGTTTGTAGCTGGAAGAGGCACCCGAAGGCGGCCTCAGCAGCTGTTCTTGTTTGCTTGTGCCCTTCTGTAGCTTGGGATTTCGGTTACCTCACAGCCACACAGAGGAGAGAAGAAAGTATAGAGAAAAAGAGCAGAGAACAAAGCAGGAGGCAAGTTGCTGCTTGCCACTCCTGCTGTCTCTTGAGATTGCAAGCTGCTCAGCAGAGGGACTAGTTTAAGAGGCTGTTGAAGGCACTGAGGGAGTGTTCTGTTGCTGAGTAACTTCAGGCAGAAAGCAAAACACTAGTTTTTTTGGGGGGGGGGGCAGCTTTTTCTGCCTCAGTTAAGTATTACTACAGGAGTCGGAACGTGGTTGCACGACAAGTGTTACATACGTAAGCAAGCACCTTAAAAATTGCACTGTTTTCAAGGACTTTCAAGGGTGACCTGGTACTTTAAATACCAAACAATGCTATTCTTTGCGGGCAAGTCTTTTGCATCTGATACTTGTATATAAATGAAACAGCTGAAAGTGACGTGGCTGACACTTTGTTTAATCAGTGTACTGCATGTGGAGTTTCCTAGGAATAGTACACTGTGTTCAGTATCAGTACAAGAGTAACCGTTTCCATCCTCAGGCTTTCTGTTTATATGTAGTACTTCTGTTCATCCTAATAAATCTTCTGTTTTACAATGGTGCTCGTCAGCAGTTATCTTTCATTATTGAGGATGATACCCTTGACTCTGAGGAGGAGGTTTGTGTTGTATATATATATATATATTTTTTTTTTCCCCTCTAGCTTTTTTTTCTTGTAGAAAAAACTTCCTTACAGTTGTTGCTTTTTCTGTGTGAACAGTAAGAACAGTAAATGAGGATTTCCGCCCTTCCTCCCCAGTCCAAAAAGCTTAAATCTGGCAAAAGTAGCTTGCTTTAACTTCTGTGGTTAAAGACTTGCTGAATCAATTAACGTGCCTAGCCTGCAACAGCTGTAGGCCGTGTGCCAGTGCTGGAGTTTGCACAGAACTCTTTAAATGCATAATTCCTTATATTTTCCAGAAATAACAGTAAATTATTTCACATGCATATGTAGTTTGTGAATCTCAGAGTCTTAATTCCTTGTCTTGGAAGTAAGAGTTGACCTTTCAAACCTTAGCTACAGTTCCCTGTTGATCCGCTGGTTAATCTAGGTGTCTGAATATTGGAGTCATCCTGAAACTTTGAGACTCTGACCCATATCCTGTCATGAAAGGTATTTGTGAAGACAACAGCTAGTCACTTGATCCAGTTTAGTACAATTTCTCTGATAAATATGGTGATGTCACTGAGGCCCTCCAATTTAGAGTAAGATGTAGGTAAAGTACAGATAAGTTTAAGTGAAACACAGTCTTAATTTGGAGTGGCAGAGGAAGGCAATTGGTTACGTACTCTAAAGCCTACCTCAGAAATTAGTTTTCATGGACATGTGATGCAGATGCACTTGAAGCAGTGTGCAATCACAGTTCTGGCTGTTCCATAGAGAACTTGTTTGTTTTTGCCTGTGTCAGTGTTGTGTTTCTAGAATGTTCTTTACATACGTTTTAGATGTATTTATCTTTAAATTAAACTGGAGGGAGTATTCACTGGGCTTAGTGTAATTCCGCTCTAGGGAACAGAAGATAAATTCTAATTATTTCAAAGGGAACAGGCCGAATACAATCTCCATTTAAGTTGAGAAAGATGTGAATATAATGCTGTATCCAAATAGCTGTCTAAGCGTGGTGAATCGAAACCTTTCTAAGACTGAATTGTCCGTACGTTATCTGTAATCTGTCAGAGCTGAGTTCAGTCACAAATATTACAGCAAAGCTATGCATTCAGTTATGTAACTCTTTTTCTAGGATAAAATGCAAGTTGATCAAGATGAAGGTATCCAGAAAAGTCAGGCTGAACAACAGAGCCAAGCAGATGAGGAAACTGAAAACGCAGGAACCGAAACAAAAGTTTGTATTCAATATCGATAAGGAAATGTTAACGTTGTTTCCCTTGAACTTATTTTCCTGGGTGTTCTCAAATTCTTTCTGTTAATCTTACCAGTTGCAATACGTGGGACTGTGTTTGGAGGACCACAGCTATACTGCAATAGCTGTGTTAGAAATCCTACTTTGGCGTTTTCACTTCCAATGTTAACACATGGTTAAGACTTTGAATAAAGTTTCCTTTATGTAACGTACAGTTTTACAGTGAAGGTGCAATTCCAAGGAAACACTGTGGAGAGGAACGTGCAAGTGGATTTAGCTCTTGAACAAGTTCTATTAATAGCTTTTCAGGTTACATTTAAAGAAATTAAATTCCAGCAGTTGGGTTCAAAATAAGGTAATGGTGTTTCTGAATAGCAGTAGTATAACTGTGTGCTTCACTTGCGTCTGATTCATTTGCAGTTGTTTTATTTGTTTGGTTTGTCTCCTTTTTGAGCATAAATGTAGTTAACATGTCTGTTGTTGAAAGTTTCTTAAAAGTGTAAATCTTCTTATAGACTGCTTCTGGAGACAAGCAGGATCATCCAGCACAGCCTAAGGCTAAAGCAAAAGTCAAAAGTATTGACCTACCTATACAGGCTAGTCTGTACAGACAACTGGGACAAGATCTTATCAATTGCTACATAGAAAATGAGGTAAGTAGCCTAAAGAGATGACAGCTCAAATGAAAGACACTGTAAATAAGTGTCCAGAAGTACTTGCAACCAGAAACTTATCTTATTACTCAGTTTAGAATTCCCTTGGGGTTTTGTCTTTTTATTATGACTCTTGTTTTGGTGAAAGTAACTTAATCTGTTTCACTGAAAATATTTGACTCCCAGATCCCTGAGCTTTACCCTATGAGCCTTTCTTTACTTGAAGTATCAATTCCTTTCTCTGGCAGGAAATGCTTCCAATTTCCCGTAAAGGCTGTGCAGTATGCTAGAAGGCGGCTAGATAAGGATTAGTTTTTGCAGGGTGTTTTCCTGGTGCTTTACAGAAGCTCTGTCCTTAGCTATATCTAGTTGTGTGTGTGTGTGTATCAAGTGCTACACCAGCAGGAAATTGGAAAGTATTGCAACATCTAGAAAACCTGCCTTTCAAAAGATCCTGTCTGAGCTTTCCTGATATCATGACCATCACAGTTAGGCTCCTACCAACTTAAGCTCATCCCTGGGAAACATTCTGAAGAATAAAATGGGGAATAGATGTTGTAGGGCAGAATAATTCCTAGTGACTTTCAAACCAGGATCACGACTTTTCTTCACTTCTCGTTCTCTATTGGCCAGTGCTCAAATCACAACTGATGCCAGATCCGTTTTCTTGGAAGCACTTGCCAACCAGTTCCCAAACGAAAACTTTTTCTTTTTCCTCCTCCCCCGATTCTTCCCGTGGAGAATACAAAAGTTACACAAAGGTGCACGTTTGATCAGTGACAGTGAATTGTCAGCCTTCTGTGAAGTTCTGTGGTAAAAGTTCAAAAGAATAATGCTTCAGTTTGACACTCTAAATGCTTTTAGCTTAAACTAAGCTTTCCTCCTCCATAGGGGAAGATGATGATGCAAGACAAGCTTGAGAAGGAAAGAAATGATGCTAAGAATGCTGTCGAGGAATACGTGTATGACTTCAGAGACAAGCTCTGTGGCGTTTTTGAGAAATTCATCACTGAAGAAGTAAGACGCATCCATTTCAACTGTTGCAAAAACTTCCTTTTTAATTTAAAGTTTTGAGTGTGGGGCATATGGAGGCTGCAGGAGTTCCTTGGATTTGCCACAGAAGGTGACGTTAATTTCACCTCTGTGAAATGAATCAAAACTACAACAAAGCTAGGCATTTATGACACAGCTATATCGAGTTCTGTGAGGAGGAATTTCAGGGAATCCTATGATGGGAGTAAAAAAGCAGAACTGACCACCATTAGCCCCTAAATGGCATCAGTGGGTAGGAGTAAAAAGAGAACGAGTGCAAGTGGAGTGGCTGTGGCTCTGTCTTATCCTCTATACTGCATTAACTTGTAAATACAATTCCTTCCCTCTTTAAAAGCATTTTGAACCTCACGTGCTATTGAAGTCCAAGCACCAGGTGGTGGAAGAAGTGCTTACTGGGCTTTTGCAGAAGCAGTATTGAAAGAATACTTGTCCTACAGTAGTTTCTCTGTAATAGCCATTTAAATAAAAATTGGCTGGTCACAGGCAAACAGTTCTTGAAACAACAAGTGTCCAGCAGCAGCTGTTTAAGGTCTGCTCTCTTGATTACCTGGAACGCTGCACTAACCCAGCAATGTAATGCGGATACCCTTCCAGTATAAACTCTAGGGTATGAGGCTGTTTTTTATCTGAAGTTCAAAACAATCTGTTTACTTACATAAGTAAAGAGGACAGACAAGATAAGTATTTTCAAATAACTAAAGATTAAAGCTTTATCTGTAGCTGATAGTCCAATCAAAAGAAATTTAACTTCAGCATATGTGTGTGTGTGTTATGCACGTTTCTCTGTTTCCCCCTTCCCCCAGCTATGCTATAGGAGTTCCTGATCAGCAGAACTTGGAATATAAAGAAAACATGCAAGCATTTTAGTAAAAGATGCATGTCCTTTCTCATAAAACTAATACTCAAGTTAGTTAATTCCAATAAACTTTGCTTGCAAATAAGATTAATAGGGCTGAAGTGCCTCTTGTATCATTCTGTAAAATCTTGGCTTTGAAGATGATTAATCATTGATTTCCTTCACTTTATGAATTCAGTATTAAACTACTGAATTACACACCCTTCTTGAGTAGGGAGGTTTCTGTGCGTATGGTGGGGGGGGAGGTCTTATTTATCTTGTTGTTAACACAAGAATTCCTAACTTGCTTCATAGGATTCAAATAGGCTGACCTTGATGTTAGAAGACACGGAAAACTGGCTTTATGAAGATGGAGAAGACCAGCCAAAACAAGTGTATATGGATAAGCTTCAGGAGTTAAGAGTAAGGCTTTAAGTTATTTTCTATTAAAAAGTATGTCTGTATGCGTGTGTGTACACATACATATGTGTATATGTATATATCTGTTTACACACTCTCTCTCAGAAACGGGTTAAGTAAACGGAGCTTTTTTAATGAGGGATGTGTATGTACATACACACATGCAGTTTTTGTAAATCCCCTGACTTCTAAGTACGCACATCCAGATTGTATCTGCATGTTTCAGTTATGCAGTGAACATATTATTTAGAACTAAGAGTGCAGTCTGCTTTAGTGCTGACTGTGCTTTTAATTTGAAAACTCTCAAATTGAGAAGTGGAGCAGACTGTCACTAGTTACAGATTAAAAAAAAAAAACAACTAATTGCTATGGGATTCTCCTATAATTCTTGTTACAATCTGATAAGGGCTCAAGTGGTTTGATTTTTCCAGTCCCCACATCTTCAGAATTACACTTTAGAACTCCTGCTCTCATTTTCCTGTTTCAGCATCATAAGAAAATTACAGAGCTGAAATGTTTTGACAGCAGCTGTCTATAAACTTAACCTAATTCCTATGTTCAGTGGTATTCTATAGTTATATCATAAAACTGAAGTTTTGGTCTAATTCTTAAAGGTAAAGGCTGAAGAGTGCTTTGGGATGATTGATGGAAACAGCAGTACAGATCCTAGCGACTGGCTTCTTGCCTGGATACCAGCATTCAAGAGTAGAGAAGGGAAAAGGAGGGGGGGGGAAAAAAAAAGTAGCTAAAACTAAAAATTTTCAGATTGCTACTCTTAAGGTTAAATCACGTCTTGTTCTCGTCCAACTGTGTGTCCCAAACGTTTTTTGCTGAAGATCACTGTGAAATACTAAGCCAAGTAGGGGCGGAGTGCTATCCCTGTATTTAAATTTCTGGGCGGCTGCGTTGTTGTTGTACTAAAGCACAGTACAAAGACAAAGCTCTTGAATGGGTGAGGAAAGGAGGGGAAGGCAGCCTTCGGTCTGATACTACAGTGTGTTCCTAGAACTAGTCTAAACTAAATTTGTATTTTGACGAGATCTTTGTGCTTATGTTTGCAGAAATTTGGACAGCCTATTCAGGAAAGATACATGGAACACGAAGAGAGACCAAAAGCTTTAAATGAACTGGGAAAGAAGATTCAGCTCCTTATGAAAGCAGTAGAAGCATATAAAAATACGGTAGAAACAAATTATTTAGGGAAGGAACTGTTACAGATGTTGGAGGCTGGCTGTGGTGTTTTTGAATATGTTTAAAAATTCCCACAGGAGTAATAAGCTGTTTGAAAATGGCTGTTGATCTTGGGCTCCTGAGAACTTTTCAAGCTGTTCGGGACTGCTAGCTAAAAAGGTTTCTTGTTCGAAACGCTTGAATTAAACATATAGCCGTGTTCTTTTTTTCTTCAACCTTAACTTGGGCTTCTGCAATGTGCCCTTAAGATCAAAATATCAAATATTTCTAAAAATAATTCCTCGTGTCTGTGTTCCACAGTCATTCTTCACTTACTGGAATATTTATTTCTAGTGGACTGTAGCAGTGTTACTCTATCATATGTTCATGAAGTTCTTAACTAGGTGAGAAGCATATAGCAATTGATTATATACACGTTTCTCTCCCTAGGATGAAAAATATGACCACCTAGATCCTGCTGAGATGGAAAAAGTTGAAAAATACATTAGTGAGGCTATGAGCTGGTTGAACAGCAAAATGAATGCCCAGAACAAACTAAGTTTAACCCAGGATCCAATCGTCAAAGTGGCAGAAATGTTGGCAAAATCCAAGGTAAAAAAAAGCATCGTTTTACGTGTAGCGTTCTGACAGTTTTTTCTGTGATTAGTAAGTTTTTGGCCTGTGTATTGAGCTAGGATATTATACCTGCAGAGACTTAAACAGATATGAAAGAGCTATGGAGAGGGAGTAGCATTTTTACTGATACCCAATCCTAGCTCTTGATTACTTCTGCAGTAACAGAGCAGTACCTCTGTATAACTCTTTTTTTTTTATTTTTTAAATAGGTTGAGTTACAGCAGTAGGCTTGCTAGTCAACTGATTACTGTAGGCTCTTAACAAATGGGAAGCTTTTTAGCTAGTGGAAGCTTCTTGTTAAGTGTCTGGACTTGATAGAGTTGAAAAGTTGCAATTCAGGTGGTTATGAACACAAAGCAAAAGTGAAAAATTTTAGTGTAATGCGATTACTGTGCCACTAAACGAACTCGCTTGTTTTCTTACTCCTAATGCAACTAGGAATTGGATAGCTTCTGTAATCCTATTATATACAAGCCCAAACCAAAGGTAGAACCTCCTAACAATGGGCAGGCGAAAGCTAATGGTGAACACAACGGACCAGTGAATGGACAAAGTGGTGCTGAAACAAAACCAGATCCAGCGAAGGATAACTCCCAGCAGACCAGACCATCTGGAGAAATGGAAGTGGACTAAATCTTACGTTTCTTTCACTTAATTAAAATAGTGCAAGTAACCACAGGGTCCATTCTTTTTGTCTGGTACACACCTCAAATGTTCAGTTACTCTTAGCCAACTTTGTCATTTGTTGTTGCAGTAGTTTTTGAAAGTGTTTTATATTAAGTACACCTCTGTTCGTTTCCACCGATGCTGCTTATGTGGAGCTTTAGCCAAATGTAGATTGTATAAGTCAGTTCAAGCTTTCCCAATATATTTTATATCAAACATACAGAATTGATATATAGATGGCAACAATCTACCTTATTTAAAGCTTTTATTGTGGATAAACCTCAGCTCCTTTATTCAGGAAAGGATACTGTATTGCACTACTGATGCTCAAGTGTAGATCTAATTGCATCTTTATTTTGGAAAAATATTGGAATTGAAGTGGCAAACTGTCACTTGAAGCACTGACCTTTTCTAGTTATTGTATTGTTATAATTTAAATATTAAAATAGAGGTTAGTTGGCATACTAGTCCATCTTGTTGATGTACCATGAGAATTGTATGGTGTCTTTTTCATACTGATAATACAAGCTTAAACTTTTTTTAGATTCCCCATACCACTAGCATATTTAATCTTAGTTATAAAATACTAGCATAATGGCTCTGCCATTTGCTGAAGTTAAGTGAATGATCTCATTGAACATTGCTGTACATAACGTACTGTGCTTATGATAGGATGATGCTCATAATAGTCTGAAGTGGTAGAATATACAAGGACTGTTGCATAGGTTTCCCTTGAAAATGTCTTATTGCACATATTACTACTTACTGCTCATTTCATTTCGCATGAAGTCTCCATCTTGATCAGATGTTATGCTGAGGAGGAGAAACAGCAGAAACTGTTTATATAACCTGGCTGTTGGAGCACTGAATTGTGAGGCTGCTTAAATGCTGTTTGTTGCAAACTTGAAACAAATACTGATTGAGGGCTTATTTAAGCCCTGGTACTTGGCACAATCCTTTTGGTTTGAGGATCTAAACAGCGGATCACAAACTGTACATTAACCACTAGCTCCAAAGATGAAGAAAGAAATTATTTGATAAATTTCCGTAACTTACCAGTTATTTTTGGTCATTCACTTGATCAAATGGAGGTGTCTCTAATACAATGTATTAGAAAGTTGAGTGAGTCACTTTTTCCTTTGGTCTGTTTACTCCAGCCAGTTCAAAGCTCATATATTCTGAATAATTCTGTTAGTCATGGAGGGAACTGTAACACTTTCTAAAGCAAGTCCATTTTCTCTTGACTTCACAAACCACCCACCCTCGTTGCCAGAAGAAGAGTGGGCTACTCCTCACTCTGGAAAGTGGTTTATTAGTCAAGTCAGCATACTGGACTGAGATTAGTTGCACTGTAACACTGTACTGACTTGAACTCCATTTTGGAAATGCATTTAGTAGTTCAGGTGTTAGTCAAATAGGCGCTCCAGCACCAGTTCTCACATGGAAAAGCTTGTTGCTGTTGTAAATGAGCCACGTGTCAAAGCTCTTCCTTCCAATTTTGGCAGCTGTTTCAACTTTACCCGTGTCCTGACATTCCCCTACTATTTATGCTGTAAGGAGAGGTGAGCTGTAGAGGTGAGCTGTGCTCCCCAGTAGCTTAATGGGAAAAGGAAGCATCAGTTAGAGCTGTCTATGCACCTGGTAAACCAACTGAAGTGCTAGAACTGTATCCTTGTGACTGACATCAGTGACTTTGCTCTTCTACCCCTACAAAATCGATTGCGGGTGATCTGGCACTCTGGGTTTACATATTTAAATCCCTTGAACAATTGTGTGACCTTGAAGAGAGCTGCAGCTACTCTGCAGCCTCAGTCTTGATGCTGTTGAGGTCACGCATCTTGGGCAACAACGTGGTGACTAGTTTAAGTCAGCATGTGACCAAACAAGCTCCAGTCGCATAAGCTTTAACATTACAAGCATCCTAATGGCTTTACCACGCTAGTGTAATAACTACTACTGTCAAATAGTGGGGTCTGAAAACGCATTTAAGTATTAACTTATATCTTGTAGACCTCCTGCCTGGTATTTGGCAGGGGAAGAGCTCGTTCAGTGGAAGAGATGTCTGGTACAAGCTCCTCTGTAGCTAAAAGGTCGTATGTAAGGAAAGCAAAGCTTGCTTCCGTTCTTGGTCATTAAATGCTCAATACTGCATTACAAATGTTGGAGGCAATTTTATACCTAAAGGCCAAAGGAATTCTACAGCTGCTTAATATGTCAAGCTTGAAAGCGGATAGGGTTAAGACAAGGAGCAGAACAGTACGTTTTGGCTGTGAACCTGCTCTGTCTCTAGAGCCCTGGTGAAGATGAATGTTACCCAACGCGTTGAGAATCCCTTTGTAAGGGCAAAATTGTTGTCTTTTGTCTTTTGAGAATGAGTGTCACATGAACGTGTCCTTCTTTCCTGCTGCAAAGGGGGAAGTTATTAACATGACACAGATCTACAGTTCTCAGCTATTTACAGTAACCATGCACAAGTTGAAGGTGAAGTTTTGCTTGTCAGATGCAACAAGGAACAAATTATCTTGTGGCCACAGGGATAAATATTTTGGAGTGCAAAATTACAATTTTGCTAGGGTACCAACAGTAGCATGCTATGTTACATTTTGTGTATTTTAAAAATGGGTATTAAGTGTTTCATCTTACTTTTTAATACTTACTTTTGAATGCAAGATGCATTTCTAATATGCTTGAAAATATTCCCTCCATCCCCTAAAAATGAAGCAATACCATCTTAGTAAGCAGTTTTGTTAAAAAGTAGCTTTGTTAAATCGGTTCCTAAGTTTAGATAATAGTTTAGTTACAAAACAGCACGAGTATTTCCTTTTGTTTTATCTGTAAAATCTATCTATTTTTTTTTCCTTTAAAAAGCAGTGATTCTCTCCCGTCGTGAGCATTCGTGGACTTAGTTATTCAAGAAACTGATTTTAATTTGATTTGTTTTACTAAAACAGCTAGTAGCCGCTAGGTTTAAAAAAAAATAACTTCTTTTCCACATCTTTTATTATGCCGTACGTTTGAAAGATCAACGTCAGCGTTTCCTCTGAACTTCATTCAGATGTTTAAGGTGAAAGTAGACGTATACTCTTCTTCACAGGGATGGCTATAAGTCTGAGTTAAACAGACAAGGGAGTTATGCTCTAAAATAACACAGTACAGCTGCCTTCCTTGTTGGTCATTTGTTTGGAGATATAAGGCTGAAGTAGAATGAAAAATCCTTTTTCCCTTTGCTTTGGGCAGTATTTAAACAGTAAAACTACAGATGCTACCTTTGGGACATGCTTGCAAAACTTACAGTAGGAAGTTGCAGGATTTAGGATGCAAGCCCTTTGGATGAAGCACCTAACTTGTATTACAAGTAAGGCTTCATAAGACAATTTGGTAGAGTGAGGGAGAAGGAGCTTGCTTCTCCCTGTCTGGTACAGCTTGGGCCTGAGAGGAACTGCACTTCCCACAATACTACCCTTGAAGCACAGAGACCTAAGACTATAAAACTCTTCTCTTCATTTCAGTCAGAGGGTACCATGGCTGACCTTACTTTCAGCATGCAGTATGAAGTTGTTGGTTGTTTCTCTTAAGAGTAGTAGAGCTCTTGATCTAAGCGTCTAACCAGCGGTTGCAGATATAATTAAGATTCCTTTATATTCTCAGTATTTGAAGTTATTTAGTATTCCGTGGGACATCTCAGTGTTCTATACTCCATCCTCTGATAGAGCTGTGTGTGTGTGCGTGCGCGCATTAACTCATCTCAGATATTCCATGTTTAAGTGAGGTTGCTCCCTAGGGGGATTAAGTTTAAACTTACTGCAAAAAGCAGGCAAAGAACTTCCTCTTTCTTGACTCATAATAGTTAGAGAGAAACTTACAGCCTTAACGAACCTTGGAGTCTGCGTAGCTGAATGTTCTATCTATGCCACGTGATTACCTGACGCTAGCTTTCAAAAACCGGAAACCGTTTTATAAATATGCTGAACGTGCTAGTTCAAAGCAGCTGGCTTCGCTGCGGTGGAAAGAGAATCCAAACTTAATTTGCCTATATTAGTTTTACCATGAACCACTTCTCTCAAAACAGAGCCTTAACAGTCAGCCCTCCGCGAGCCCTGTATGCTGAAGTCCAGGTCCGCGCGTTAGTTGGGCAATCAAGATAACGTCTGGAAACACCAAGGAAGCCTATGTAGCTGCTGCTTACAGTGAATTTTACTTAATTGTCTGGAAGAACATTATGTTGCCCCTTACACTTTTTTCATTACGCTGAATGTTCTAGGATGGGTTCCAGGCACTAGAGGGATAGACAGAACAGCACAGTCAAAAGACAAAAACATTTTATGTGAATTTTTATTTCAACCCACAAGATGATGTTTGGAGTGTAAACAAAAGCTCAACTACTACACAATAACTCTAGAGTATTAGATTGACCTGAATTTTTAGTTCTCTGCAGGTGAAATTTGAAGACTGCAACCACCAATTAAGCATGTGAACAGCCAGTGAGAACAACTGAATGTGGCTGTTAGTGCTATCTATAAAATACTAACCTGGGGTTTTGCTTATGTGACTTAACCTGATACGGTCATGAAACCCCATTTTCCATCTTCCTCTTCAGAAGGAAATAAGACTGAAAAGCAGGAGTCGCTGCAACACGATATGTGAAGAATTATTTTAAACAAAATGCAGTTAAGAGCTAGAACCACCAGCCACCTATAGAAAGTGCTGAAATAGTTAATTTAACTAAGAAGGTGGTAGTCACTGAATGTTGCATATTTGGAGTAGTTTGTTTACATATTGGAAACATATCTCTACAGGATGGGGGCGAGGGGAAGAGGTAGGAGTGTCAGAATTAAAAGCAGTGTTTAAGTATGCAAAACGTTCACTATGTATGTAAATGGGATCCTTATTAGTGACAGATCATGTGCAAATTGACAATACTTCAATTTATTTTTGAATGGCAGTATAGATTGTCAAGGCTGTGTATAATTATAATAAATATATAAACCTGCTACTTGAACCATAAATGACCACCTGAGACGTAATTTTTACATTGGTGTTCTTAAAATAAGCTTCGTCCGATTTCCTGAATTCACGTACGTGTTTGTGCAGAACCGCACAGGTAAGTAAGACATGTTTTCAGCTCACCGTATCCTGCTTTAGTCAGACACGGTGTCTGGTTTATCTCATTTTTCTCTTAGCCCCGGTCAGCTGCTGACTCTTTCCTAATGACAAACTCCACTAGATAAGTGACCTATTAATACTGTGGTTCTTTCTTCTCCCCTAGTTGGAGCCTAGACATGTTGCTACTTAGGTTCTAGGGAACTTCTGTCATTTTCGTATCTGAAATCCCATGGTTGCGTTTTGTAAGTCAAGTTACCAAGTTTCAAGGAACTCGTCTTTAATTGAATGATTTGTCGTGCCATACGAACAAGTTCAAACTATAATTCTTCTGTATCTTGGACCGTTTGGGATTCTCCTAGGTGAGAATCGGTCTGCTTCAATTGACCACCCAATTTCAAACACAGTACCTTTGCAGATACTGCCATTAATGACAGACTTGATGGAACAAGCCCGACTTGGCGGCAGCAGCAGTAGGACCGAGATCTCGCACATGCCAGTTAGTAGTTCTAAGCCAGCGTGCCACATGAGGACATGTCCCTGGCAGGGCAGAAGACACCAGCTGAGAGTCACAAACTGGAACTACTGTATTCATTTTACGTGAATTCCAGGTGCTTAGATTTCTTCACAGCTGAACAGCTTGACTTGCGTGCATCTTGCATACGTATTTTGGCCAATAGTTCAGTTCTTGAGACTGAGTTGTACTTTTTGCTATAAAATTTGAATATGATTTTCAATACTAACAACCAAAGTAGCAGGTACTTAAGGCTGCGAGGGGGAGGGGAGGGTTTTTAGATGGAGAAACTAACCATGATGACAGTGTTACATCCTTCTGGCAAATAAGTAATCCAACTGCTCAAGTTGTGTTCCTAATTAATGTTAGTTTCCTGGCAGTACAGCTTGATCCGTGAACGGTAAGCGTCCTCATTTTAAATTTCTGTGCAAGTCTTGGATATCCCAGGTACCTCAGGGCTTTACAAGACGTAAGTTTTTTATTGTTTTGAGGAAAAATTAACATCTCCATGTGAAGAACAAGCATGTTCTTTTTTTTCCACTTACCAGTACAGCCCTGTCACTCTCCAGCACAAGTTCTCGGGCTGTTACATCCCTGTCCTTTTTGCTCCGAACTGCAAGCAGTAGAGTAAGATGCAGCAGGAGGACAGTCAAGCGTAACTCTCAGTTCAGGGAATGCTTGACGTAGCGTAAAATCCACCAAGACGCTCCGACGTGAATCTGAAAAACCATTAAAAGAAATATTGTATATTAAAGCTTGCTGTAGATTGTTGAAGCAATACATTTTAAGTGTTTTTGACTGTACTTTGATTTCTACAAGCTGTCGCTTAGGTTACGTCTCCAGCTGCTCCCCCATAAAGAGTAATGTCGCTAATAATTTACTTCAAGTGTATATGCTGCTCAGGCAGACAAGTAAATATCATTCCTTAAAGTGGCGGCGACTGACCAAACTTTTAAATGAGAACCAGTTTCAGAACCAGAAGACCAGGCTCAAGAAGCCAGCAGTCTGACGTTTAACCACGCATTCCTCACAGGCCTGTCCTATCTACCGTCCTCATCCACAGCCTGCACAAAGGGCTGGAGTCAGGTTTGCTAGGGGTCCTCGCACCCGCCCAAGGGAAACGAGTCAATTAGTAGCTCTGTGGAAAAGCGTGGAGGGGAGGGAGGGGGGTTGTGGTGGGCAGTGAGTTGCACACGAGTCACCGGCGTGCCCTCGTGGCAGGGGCCGCTGGCCACACAGCTCTTGTGACTCCGGTGACAGCAGAGGCTGGGCGCACCCGCGAGGCAGCACCCGCGAGGCAGCTCTGGGCCCTGACGCGGGCTGCAGCCCCAGCAGCAGGAGGGAGGCAGAGGAGGAGGGCAGGGGCTGCGCCAGGGAGCTATGTTTTGCTGGGCCTGAGGCAGAGAGAGCGGAGGGCACCTGACTGCGCTCCTCTGGCGCGGAGAGGGAGGAAAACGTGACAGGAAATGCAGAGCCAGACTCTCCGCAGCGGTACACAGAGATGAGTCGAGGTGGAAAGGGTCACGCGCTGCCACAAGAGAAACTCCTCTTGGATACAAGGAGAAAACATTTCACCAGGGGGCTGGCTGAGCGCTGACCAGGCTGCCCGGAAAGCTCTGCTGCGCGTTAGCGCGAGCAGGCCGAGAGCTGCGTGCTATCGCCGTCCAGGTTTGAGCAGCCCTTTGGGCATTAATACTCCAATACCTGACACTGCCTGAAAGACAAGGCAGCACATTCAGACAGCGCACCCACGCTGTCTGCAGCGGAGCGGAGGAGACAAACGCTCTTCGTCATTTCTGTCCTAAATTCATTGGCCGTACGTCTGTTCCCTCACGTCTAACAGACATCCCATAAAAGACCAGTTAATACATCACCATTGCAAGCTATCAAGCGCTTTTCCCTGCGGGAAAGAAAACCCCCAAAGCTGTTTATAGGTGGAGAAGCAGCATCTCAGAAAATAAACTACTCGCAGCTACGTTTATAACACCTAGTCGCGCTTCGGCCGATTCCTGCCCCTCTGCAGACGGAAGAGCTGCGCGCAGAGTTTGGCGGCGGCGGGGGCACGAGCGAGAAGCAGCACGGGACCGCTGCGCGCTGCAGGAAGGGAGAGCTTGGGCTCGTCATCGCGACGCAGGGCCTCGGCACCGTCCTGAGCCGCGCCGGTCCGCCCCAGCGCTGCCAGCGCGGCGCCGGCTTCGGTAAAGCCGAAGCTCGGGAGGCTCCTGGCTCAGCAGCGGCTTGCAAGCAAAGCTACGGAAGGGGAAGACGTACGCAGGCCCCTTAGTGAGAGAGCAGCAAAAGAGGGGCCGGTGCCACACGGGGGCCGTATTGAGGC